GATAAAATGACAGAAAGTAGACTTAAGTGGGCTGGCCACATGCGGTGCAGACCTAGTACACTTGTTAGGAGGTACGAGTTAGTTCAAGTGAAAGGCTCAAAAAGGAAAAAAGGTAGGCCAGAAAGGATATGGTTGGAAGTAGTGAGAAAAGATATAAGGGTTTGGCCCTTAATAGAGCAGAATGACATACCAAGATTCATATAGTCGACCCCAATTAATTGGAAAAAGGCTCTGACGACAACGACGACGACGATGATGACGACGACAATGATAGATTAGATTTGAGGGGAAAAAAATGAAATTTGATGGATTCTAGAGATCTAGGCTTTTTACCTAGGTTTTGTTTGATTCCAAAACCTTGTAATTTCTTATAGTCGACCTTTAATGAAATTTGATCTTTAACCCTATGTTTGGATTCTGCATCCAATAATTGACTTATTTACTACAAAAAAACTCAAGAAGATCGGATTTTTGATATTTTGATTTTCGGATTAACTATTCGTCCAAATATTCTAAGAGCTCGGATCTCGTCGATCCAACTCGAAAAAACTTAACTGGTTTAGGGTTTCGATTGGGGTTGTCTAGGGAAGCTTTTGAAGGACTGGAGGCTTCGATTTCCACGAAACATGAAGATTGACGGATCAGCCTCGAAAATTTAGGCAAGTGTCAATTTTTTTCAATTTAAATTCATACTATTGATTTATTTTTACTAAATAACTTATCGATATTATAATTAGTGTCTTATATCCTTTATACATTTTTATTTTTATTTTTTCTATTTATCCATTTTTCAGATTTTTGTGATTTTTCCTGGTTGTAAAACATCAATTTTCATAATACATGTAATTTTTTATTATGTAAGTTTTTAATTTTTCCATTTTTTTCCTCAAATTTTACTTTTCTTTCCCATGGCTCTTTGAGTGGCTAGGTGCCAAACTCTTGCAAAAGTTGACTTGGACTCGCCCAAGTTACTTGGCCAGGTGAAGGGCCAAGTTTTGCAGCCGAGCGATAGTAAAACACTGTACGTGGCAGTTTTATTACAAAAATCATGTAAAGGACCCAGAAGTGTGAGACTTGGGTGAGTCTCATGTTCTTTACATGGGACTTGCCAGAGTCCCATGGCAAGTTGACTGGGGCGAGTCCTGAACTCACCTTGTTTTGAAACACTAATTCTCCAAAAGGGTCCCCTCTTATGATGGATAGAATCGTTTTCCTTGGGACGGTTATTGAATAAATATTGCAGCAAGGCACACCTGCTGTTTGCTGCTGTTGTGATATTTTAAGAGGGGTGCCTAACTGCCTATTGAACTAGGTCGTGTTAAGATGTTTTTAGGTGTTTGAGCAAAAAATAAATTTTTACTGCTAGTCACATCCTGGTGAAAAAGCTTGACTTGGGGTGGTCAAAGGAGGGCCTTCCATTCATCTTTTTAGGGCTTGCACTGTGTATTGGAGACCTAAGAAGAGCTTTTGGGAAAAAATTGCTTTTGATGAGATCGCACAAAAATCGGCATTTAGGAGAGTTAATAACTGAAACACTGAGCTGCATATTTAAAGCTTAACTGATTCACCTTGTTAAGTGTCCTATGTTATTTTTTGACCCCATCTTGGCTTCCTTGGTTAACCTTATTAAGATATTGCAAGCAGTAGGCTAAGCAACTGATATAATCAGGTAAAATGGACGGATTAGTGTAAAGTCAAGGAGCAAGTAGTCTGGCAATTCAGGATAAGGAGCGGTATGTGTTCAAACATATTTAGATTTGGTAGATAAGGAAGTCTTTGCTGATTAGGCGATATCCAGAATCTGCTCCTAAGATTATCTAATTTGATCTTTCTTGGGATGCCACAATTTTACCTTTCTTGGGGCTTGTTGGACTTTCAATATTGACCATGATCGAGGCCTTTGTGCGACTCCAAGGGCTCCAATTATTTGACCTGAATTGGTGTTTGAACCTTGTTTTTATGCTGAGGATGACTCCAAAAAAGATGTTCAACTGGGAAAATAGAAGCTACACGTGCCCATGCAGTCTGGAACTAGTCTTTGAGGAAATTTTCCTATGCGGTGACCTGATCAACATCTTCCTCCACCACATGTGAGGCCAATAGCATCACAGACAACCTGGCCAAACAAGGTGTCCTTAATGAAAGCCTTATCTTCAATCATTCTTCACAAAGCTTAAAAAACTGCCGATCCGATTCGGAATCGGCCGATCTGGATCGGGAATCGTCGAATATTGGGAATCAGTTTGGTTTCCACCATGAGATGGTCGGTTTTGGCTAGTTCTTAAGGAACCGGCTCCACCTTCATTATTTATTTATTTATTTATTTTTTAAGAACCGGTTCGGTAGACCGGATCAAAGTTGTCAGATTCGCTTCAGAGTCTTCTTCAGTTTGGTGAGAAAAATGAAGCAATTAGGTACTTCAATCGATTCGGGGGAAGAATTCAGACTTTTTTTAAAAAAGTTTAATATAAATAAATTAGATATTTATATATAAAACATATAAAAAGAATGAAAAAATTAAAAATAAAAATGTCAAAATAAAGAAAAAAAATACTTTTATATAAATATTTCTTTGCTTCGGCTAAAGAGGTTGAAGCTTCGGCCGAAGCTTCGGCTGAATCAGTCCGAAGTTGATCGAAGCTAATCGAAGCGGCAACACCATGCTTCGCTTCAGTCTTCGAAGGCTTTGGCCTTTTCAGCCGCAGAGAAGTGAATTTGACAAACTAGACTGAATTGCTGATCTATCGAACCAGATCGTAAATCCGGATATGCAATTTGGGTCACCGAACCATTTTTTAAAATCTTTGTTCTTAGGAAACATGAACAATAACAAATCTATTCATACTTTGGAAAATCATTAGAACCTTGAGGTTTTCCTTTTTTGGCCATTTCGTAAGGTCTAATTTTTTGTGAATCTTGCACACAGAGCGTCGTGCGTATTGAATTATGCACTATTACGTGATTGTGCATATGGAAATGTGCACTATTATTTAATACATATCAACTTCATAAAATAAAGAGCTTAGCTAATTTGACCTTTAAGGAAAGTGAGGAGTCCAGCTAACCTGAGTTTCTTGGGTTGGAGTTTTTAAAGAGCATAAGTTTCCTCATTATGGAGTGTCCTTAAGTAGATGTGTGGATCTCAAGAGGTACTATGACTAAGAAATTGAAGAAAAAAAAAGAAAGATTATGTTCTTGTAGTTAGATTGTGAGGTTGGTTTGTTGTTCCTTGAGTGTTTTACCATTTAACAAATGAGGGAGAAAGATAAACATGTGCCATAAGTGGGAAACCCCATCTGGATCTTGGGAAAGGAAAGTCCCTACTGAGGCAAGGCATGCATCCTTCCAATATGGAGTCTCATACTCTTGGCTTTAATGACCCACTTAATGCAAAATTGGAAATCCTAATTATTAGGATGTAGCCAGATATTTATGTAATCAATCTAAATACAGTTTAAATGAATACACCCATAATATGAGGGTAACAAATATAGCAAAAGCACAAACCACTAGAAACCTAGAGTTATGTGTTTCACTCCGAAGTGGCTACTTCTATAGTAATGTAAATCAAGTATCGCATGAGAGCTTACAGATTTGGGCTACAAGAGTTTCCTGTTTCTAAACACTGGCAACATGCGCTTATGTTCCTTTTAAACCGCTCTCTCAACCTACATCTGCTCATCTTCGTCTTCTTTCCCACTGTTAAACTGCTTCTGGAAAGAGTTATGAGAGCTGTGAGTCTCTCTCTCTAATTGGGAAACCACCCAAAATTTCATGGAAACCACTTGTAGGAGTTCTGCCTCTCTTGGGGCTTTTCTTTCCCATGACCCGGATGGTTTACACTATTGGGGAACACATCTATCTCTCTCTCCTTCCTTAAATAGTAAAGACACAAACAAGACTTTCCATCTTGATGAGGACTTCTACTCTTTCTAAAACGTTTAATGATGGATTTCAATAACTTGGTTTAATTAGACTTCACTTTCCCTATAAATGAACAAATTAACTAAACTTAGGCTGAGTATAGCTATTACGACAACAATCCCCAACTTGATATAAAAAGTCACTATATCAACCTTTTGGTTAAAAAAAAAAAACCATTTGTTGCTCTCAAGAGAGGCCTACAATGTGGTATATCAAGGGATGCACCTGGAGCAAATGGTCAAGATAGTCCCACTGCATTGAATTGTCTCTATTGCTCGTCTTTACCTGGGGTAGAATCATATTCTTTTAGCTTGTTTCATATTTACATGTCTTTTGTCTATCTGTACATTGGATACAAGTTGATGTTTTCTGTTTTTTTCTTCCTTCAGTGAAATCATGTTAAAAGAAAAAGAGCAACTAGGTTATTTTGTCTAGTTATCAGTACTGAAAGTATGATTAGAATGGATGCTGGACCTCTACCATTTTTCCTCTGTTAATAAATAAAATGCATATAAAGTACTTGATTACCCCATAAGAGTATATCTTTCTAAAATCGTCCTCTGACAAGAAAGGTGCAATTTTCTTTTATTTATTTGTTTGTTTTTTTGGAGTGATTCGACCGGAAAGAGTTGCTTGCTGTTATACTGTCCCATTAATGTGAACCATCTTGAGTTTGCATGCTTGCTGTATGAGAAGATTATGTAAGAATAATTATGAAACTTTGTAAGAATAATGATATTTCTCGTAATTTATATGTTGCAGTAACTTTGATCCTTAGGTTCCCACAACATGGAAATTTGATTGGCCTTGTGATTCTATTGTATGTGCGTATATTTTGGATTCATAGGTCTGTTAAGTTGAATAGGGTCCTTTTGTTTGGAAATTCCTAGCACCTTACTTCTCAATTTATATTTAGTTAAATTTGGGTCAGTTTAATTTTGTAAAGCATTCATATTAGGATTCGATCTCCATTGTTGCTACTTGAAGTGAAATTTGGTATTGGGAAGTGTCTGATACATGGGAGCATGATTATGCTTATAATGTGTAGCTACTAAGCAACCAGGTTGCTGATGCAGGTTGGCCAACTTGGCACAGTAGCTCAGAAGTATCAAACTGCATCTCAAAATGCACCATCGAATCAAGCTCCTCAGGAATTGCAAAATTATTGTAATTCGTGAGTCTTCTCTCATCCTTGTTGACCTTTGGTTTTTTTTTTTTTTTTGTACATTAATGAGAGCTTCCTATTGTTCCTGTACATTTTCAAGTGATCATGTTGTCTATGATTATGGTGGATCTAAATTTTGCAAACGGAGTCTTTAAGTTAGAGTTCCGTTCTTGCTTATTTATCTCAAAGGATTGCAATGATCCTCTCTTCAGGATTTTTGCTGGGTCTAAATGTTGCAAGGACTAATTTGGATTAATTGATTTATTGAAACTGGCATGAAGCATGATATTATACAGTTCTGTTCTTTCTACTGAAAATATTCGATGATTACTTTTTTAAAGGCCCAAAATTGATACAACTGTTGCCGTGCTTCAGGTTTGCTGCAACTGCAAAGCAATTAGCGAAATCCTTGGAGGTTCCTTTGGTGAATGATTTAGGATATACGAAAAGATATGTCCGTTGCCTTCAGGTCTTTTACTATGAACCCTTAGTATGAATGAAATTGTGCCTTTCAGGCCATGAATAATAATATGGTTATGTTCAAATTCTTAGGCCTTGTAAGGATAGCTAAAATGGAATTACAGCTGGTGCTCTTGAATAGCAACCATGCTATCAACCCCATCTGTGAAAGCTCCATTTGACGAGCATGCATTCCTAGCGAACAATTTTTGCACTCCTTGTCAACTGTGTTTTTACAAATGCATCCTTGCCTGGCATTTTATACAAATGCACCCTAAGTGATGAACTCAATTACCTTTGGGTTTTTTATTTTCCTTACGTTGGCATATTATCGTAATTTTGCTGGATTGATGATGTGACTTTTTTGAGGACTTTGGTTTGACCGGCAGATATCAGAAGTGGTTAACAGTATGAAAGATTTGATTGACTATAGCCAAGAAACAAGGACCGGACCCATGGGTATGTTCTTTTCTTTTTTTTGTTTGACACTATTCTTGCATTTTGTTCTGTCTGTATTCTACCAAAAGAAAATTTCTTTAATCAGTGAATTATGCTCTAATTGCCATATTTTTCACTGACTTTATCCTATGAGCGATTGGTACTTGCGATGGATTCTGCAGTGTTATATGGTCTTTATTTCTCTATAAATCTTTGGAATTAGTTAGTCTGACTTGCATCATTCCATGTGCATTTTGTCCATGTGTTTTTATTTTATTTGTAATTGGTGATATTTGTCTTAAATTTAAATCTTAGGCTTTTGAGGAAGGCAATTTAGCAATATATTCTTACTCTTCAAATTTTACATGCCATTCACTTCTATATGATGGATTTTTGTGCATTTGTATTAATTAAAATAAAATTATAGTCTTGAGATAAAGCAAGATAACATGATATCAGAGAATTATGTAGGTATTGCAGAATTAGGCAGTAATTTACTTTCAAAAAAGAGATCTCAAAGTTGTTATCAGTCCTTTTATGGATTTATGTACAGTAAAGCCAACAGCATTTACTTGGAATGAAGCAATCAACTTGACATATTGAGTTTGCCACCTTTAACTTCATCATGAGTTCTCTCAGTTACAAGTACTATATCTATAAAGATTCATTATCTGGCACTTGTTCAATTGGTCTTTTTGTGTTTTTAGAAAATTAAATTACAGTTTTGACACATTGAAACTGTAGGACATTCGTTGTGCAATTTCAAATCACCAGGGCTGTCGTTGCAGCGCCTACCATTTTACCATTTCTAAAACCACATTGAATATCAATTGAAGGAGAATTTTCATAACTTACCTTGTAATGTAACTCTTAAGGATTATGTTTTTTCTTTTTCTACAGTACTACTATGTTTTTATGCCTCTCATTTTCAAGTTTATTCTGTTTAAAACTATCAATCCTTGTCCCAACTTGGAATCTTGGACTGTTTAATGTCGCATGAGCTTTGGCCTGAGATATGTGGCCGGAGTTCTTTCTGTGAGGCTCAATGAACTCTTGGGATATTAATTTGGAGTTTGTGCGCCTCGCTAGGATGCCTGATCTCCCTTTATATCATCATCATAGCCTTTTCCCAAACTATTTGGGGTCGGCTATACAAATCCTGGTCCGTCATTCTGCACTATCAAGGGCCATACCCTCAGTGAGGCCATAAGTTCCCATATCTTTTCTTACAACTTCCAACCATGTTCTATTGTGCTTATCCCTGATATACTATTGGATAATAAACATACAAGTATTCCTACCTACGTTTCAAAATGACTGAAATGTTATGGGTCTCTTTTTGGAATACGATTTTTTAAATCTAAGGGTGTTTTCTTCCAGACAATAATAAACAAGTGTCATTTTTAGATAATGAATCGAAAATGAAGTATCTAATAAGATCGATGTAAATTGATAAAAAATAAACCTTAATTCGGTGGCGTATATATGTGTGTGTGCAAGCGCGCTTGCGTGTTCCCATTGTGCATTTGTCGACGCTAGTACATGCGCGGGATTGTTGCATTTCGTGCATGCATGTGAGCATGTGTGTGGGATATGGGCTCTTGATAACCTCTAGCCAATACAATTTTTAGAGTACGGATGTGCTTTGAAAGGGAATTTTTTTGGGGGTAGTTCAGTGGTAGGAATTGAACTTGAGATGTAGTGTTGCTTGACGTTCATTGCTAACCATTCAACTCCAAGCCCAATTCCTATTTGAAACGGCATACTTGAATATGGACTATTAAACCCTACATTTTGTAAAAGCATGTGATTGGCTGGGTTATCTTTCTATGCCAAAGCCATTCCTTGAGCTTGTGCATGCCTACAGGCTGTGCACTTCCATTCATATGAGATTGCACGCATCCATGCATATATCCATGAGAGATATATACACGTGCAGTTATTTATATACAAGCAACATGTTTTGTTGATCAATTTGAGCAATGCTACATATTATGAATTACGCCATATTTAATTGGTCTAAGATGGATCCGCTATTTTACTCTCTATTCTATTCATTTTCAATTCTTGCCATTTCTATGGTTAGGTATCATTTCATGCCTTCTGAAAATAAAGTTTTAATGTTCAAAGAACAAGAATACCTATTCATCTTCTGCTTTGTAGAACATCTTTCTAGAATAAAATGAGCTGTTCGAAGATCTACTTTTCTTGTACTTCAATTCTTTAGTACTTATGTGGATTTATCTTTTCTTGATGGGGTAGTTTCACGTCTCTGATGGCTTAAATCTTTCTAGAAACCATTGCATCACGTGTCAATGAGATGACATCAATGCAATTTTTTCAAGAGAAGAAAAACAGAGCTATGACATTATTGTGCTAAATCCTTCAGTGTATTTTGTGGTTTTAATGCTTTGATAAATTCTTCCTAGAACTCTTTGCATCCAATATGAGTAAAAAATAGTATTATGTTTTAAATGTCATAAACTCTCTCTATATCTCCAGCAAGTTTGATCAACTTTCCAAGGAGAACTGGCAATTCAACAGGGCTCTCTACCCAAGGGCAGCAACAGCAGCCAGAAGAACAGGTTGGCGCTCAGAATGCAAATAATGACCGGAGCACTGTTCAGGCCACACCTGCACATCTTGCTGCTAGTAATGGAGCAAGCAGTGTAAATAACTCGATTGCTACTTCTTCAGCCTCAGCCCCCACTAGCACCATTGCTAGCCTTCTCCACCAAAACTCCATGAACTCGAGGCAAAACAACCCCAGTAGTCCTTTTTCAAACCCATCGGTCAGTTCCCCCAATATGCAGCAACCTCAGCCGAACCCATCTTCTCCTTACCCAAACCAAGCTCCATCTTCTTCTAACCAAGGTTTACCCAACTCTGCAAACTCCCCTGCTAATAGTGCCCCTCTACCCACACAGTCTAATAATGAAGCCGATCCGAATGACCCTCAGAACTCTATGCAGCAAATAATTCAAGAAATGATGATGTCTTCTCAAGTGAATGGAGGTGGTAACATGAATTCAGGAGTTGGGTCATCGGGGAATGAGATGAAAAGTGTAAATGGTATTACACAGATGGGGAATCCAGCTCTTAAGGGTCCAAACTGTTTGGTAGGTAATGGAGGTTTATCGAATGGAGTTGGATTTGGTAACATGGGGGGTGTAAATCCGATGCCTATGAACCCTATGAATGGTATGAGGTCGGCTATGGCGAACAGCTCTATGGGATTGAACGGGAGGGTCAATGTGTCTTCCATTCCACAGGATTCTGGGATAGCCCATCAACAGGATATGGGTAACAGGCTGTTAAATGGTCTTGGAACAGTGAATAGCTTCAATAATCTCCCATTTGACTGGAAATCATCTTCATAACGGGCTATAAGAGTTTAATCTTTTGCGAATTGTATACGTCAAAAGGACTTTGGAGGAAGATCGGTGTTACCTCGAGGAACTGTGTGCTCTGTGATCCTTGGTTTTTGGCTCTTTCCATACCAATATTGAGAGGAAACAAGCGAGGTAGATCAGCATCCACTTGGACCCATTGTCTTTTTGTTTTTTTTTCCTTTTTTAAATCTCTCTGTGGCTTTCGAAATGGTGGTTAATTTGAAGTGCCAGCTTTGTCAGTCCACTTGTGTGAGAATCTCCCATGAACATCATTTTGGAGGGAATGTAAGGGATCTCAGAGGAGTGATGACGGTGGATGCGTTGCTCTCTACTTCTAGTGTTGCTGCAATTAGGAATATATACACAGCTCCGAAGTGGAGAGCGTCTACTTGGGATGGAAGTGCTGTATCTCACTCTCGTTTTTTGAGAGAATTGTATATTATCAACCAAAAGGTATTCCTTATAGGCTTTTACTGTTCTTGAGCTGTTTTTCCATTTATGAGCTCTCTCTCTCTCTTACATATACATATGCGTAGAATCAATGAACCTTTGCTCACTCTCTCACTTAATGCCTCAAATCTATGAACCTTTGCTCAGATTGTATATATTGATGATTCTCTTGTGGCCTCAATTGTCTCTAGTTTTCCCTGCCATTTCGTACTCTTAAGAGTCCAGATTATTAGTGAGCATTCTATATGTAAACTGCCTGTGGCCATTTGGAAATTGAGATCTGCCTTAAGTTCAACCTTGTACATTCACCAATTTGGTGTTTTCGATGGAGGATGCTTCGTGGTTAATGGCCCACCACTGGCTGAGCTTAATTCCCTGGATCATGTTAAATATGATTTGAGTTTGTTAAATTTGTTTCTAGTCCTGTTAGTTTTGGTTAATATCCATTTGGAAGGAAAAGGGTTGAAAGAAATCTAAGGAATTTCAAACTAGAATTTCAAACTCCTTGTTAATGTTTAGTTCTTGGGAAGGATCATGGTAACATTCTATGGTGATTATGTGAAGGGTACGACAGTGTTAGTGCCCTCCCTTGTAGGGAGAATGGGCAAGTCATTGACTCCTACTCCAACATCCCACCCTTGATAGGTGGTGATGACCCATACGACCATATTCTTGCCATGATCATGAGGATTATTATATGGTTCTTTTGTTCTTTGGCTTGCAGTTGAGGACCGAGTCATTTGTTTATGCTTTTAATAGAAGCCATCACATTACTTTTGGTCTTAAAATGCTATTTATTTTCAGTTACTCTATAGTTGCCATTGGATCATTCATTACAGGAAGATGGCTGAAATTGAATAAGAGATGAAATGGATGGCTGACAACAGCGCGCTCAGTCTATTCCCATATTTTTGTGCCAGTTCTTGTTTTTTTTTTGGCATTTAGATGAGACTTACATATGTGAAAATTGAGGTCCATCAATCTCCACTCTCAAAATTTTAATTTAATTTTATTAACATGCAGATCTCGGCCTTTTTTTTTTTCATTTGATCTTTAGCCATTCGACCTATGCTGTGGGCTGGTCAGCTAGTAAATCATTTTACTTCCCATCATATTCCCTAAAGCGGCTTCTCAGCTCTACAATTTCTTTTTCATGTAAGGGGGACATTTTTTGCCTTTAACTCAAATTTCTTTTCATTCAAGGTGTGGGTGGTTTTGTTATAAGGCTCAGTTCACACATTACATTTACTCACAAATTAAATTTATTAACAAATAGCTCCATTTTCCTCTGCCCATTCATGAATCTGAAGGAGCATTGGTTAGCCTTTACCTGCTATAAGTAACGCCCATCTAGTCCCCCATTTATTTATGAAATATTGAGAAATACTTTCCAGCCTATTTGGAAGGAAAAAGAAAAAAGAAAAGAAAAGATAGTGGTCCCATATTCACGAATATAGTACCATTTTCTAATATGCAAAAAGATTTCGTTGTCCTTTGGGAGTATAATGTCTATTTACTCCTCGGGGTGAAATCCAATCTAGAAGTCCCGTTAGGACACACCAAGATTTTGGAGATATAATTTCTTCCAACCATAGGTTAGCCTTAAAAAAGGAAAAGAAAATCCAAATTTCACTCTTAGTACTTTTTTTTTTAAAATCAACCCCACTCCCCATGTACTTGGAAATAATGTCGTGGAGGGTGAGATCTGAGTGTTAAAAAGCTCAAAATTCAAAATTTTCATTTTGATAATGATTGTCTATGGATTATTAGGTAGATAACAAAATTGAGATGGAATAAAAAAATCTCCCAAATAAGTCATTTGCCCGAGGGAATAAATTAATAGTAATGCTCCCACAGGAGCATAGCATATCTATTACAGTCCTTTCTATGTTTGCTACGATGATAATAAGGCTTGATGTTTTTGTCAGAAGTACGACGGCGGTGACATTAGTTTGCTTCCTTCATCTCGCCTATCCCTCGTTTTTCTTTTGGATATATACCCCAATGTTTAACTAGGAAAAAGTTTAAATAGAGCTGAGACTCTAAACAATCAAATTAGAGCACATCTAAAAAATTTAACTAGAAAATGTTGTTTTGATACTCAAATATCTTCAAATTGATCATCTCGACATCAAGATGCATGGACCTGAGAAAAAAATGGATTTCAAGTTTTGGAAACGGTACATTTTGTAACACATTTTTGGACTGTCAATTTCTAAGATTTTCAAGTTTTTATAGATTTGCTCGATCTACATTATTTTTTAAATTAATCATCTTGACATTAAGAAGTATGGACATGAGAAGAAAATGGATTTCAAGTTTTGGAAACGGTACATCTTGTAAATTTTTAAGATTTTCAAGTTTTCACATATTTGCTCGATCTATACTATTTTTTAACCTTTAAATTTTATAATTGAAGATGAAAATATGTTTTAAGGCTATCACAATGATTTTCAGTATTGAAATCACATTACTTGATACTATTTGAAAATGCACTTTATTTTAATTGTTTAGAGCCTCGGCTCTATACAAACAGCACCCATTTTAACTATAATCCCAAATAAATCTTAGGTCCATTGAAAGCCCACGGACCTTCCAGTTAAAAGAAGGATTTTTAATTGTCTAAATCTTTTTCTTCAAATTATAGCTTTATCTTTTCTACTTTTTTCTAATGACTATGACCCACATTTTATGAAGCCCCCCTTTCTTTCTCTATCCTCCTGACCCTTGGGCCACTCTCCCTTTCTCTCTCAACCTCCATTCAAACTTTATCTCAATAACCTCACATGTAGGTTAAATTAAGTACCCAAATTCCAGTTATAAGATGAGAATATTTTAAAAAATTACGAGTAAATATTTTAATTTCAACAGTGAAAAAACAATATACTTCATATTAATTTCAACTTTAAACAATCAAAGTCAAATCAAAATGTCATAAAATGCAATTTTGGTGCCAAAACTTCTTAGGATGGCTTGAAAATCTATAGTTATAAAATATTTGACTCCAAAAGTGTCTCAAAATCAAGCTGACCTGCATAAAAATCTTGAAAATAGACGGTCCAAATAAAATCTTGCAAGATGTACTGTTTTTGGAACTTGAGATCTCTTTTTTTTTTTTTCCATATTAATTAGATAGCTTTCTAGAGTCAAAACAAACTTTTTCAATGAATTTTTGAGATGCACCTTAATTAAATAAACTTTTTCCCTAAAAAATAATAAAATATGAATCATCTTTTTTTTTTTCTTTTCTTTTTTTTTTTCTTTTTTTTTGTTTTTTTTTTTTAGGGAACCCATGCACTTTCCACAGACCCGAGGGTTTATTTCAGATTACAATTTGGCCCGAGGGCTTATCTGAGATTGCAATTTCAAAGGTCATACATATTTCCCCCTTTTTCTTTTTGCTCTCACCTTCTATCTGATCTCACTCCTTCCTTCCCTTGGGCTAGGTATAACCTTTCTTATCCGATGATGGGGGAGAGAGGATATGTGGTTTAACCTTCTTATTTGATGTGAATTACCTTATTACTTATTTGATGAAATGTGTGCAAGTGCGAGAGAGAGAGAGTGTGTAGTGCTCATGAATGTGATCTTGAGAAAACATTAGAGATCACATGCAAAAGAGAAAAAACAGTGACTGGTAGCAATGTATCCTACCCACGTGTCAGCACAGAAAAGTATCATCTTCCTATATCAAAATGCACTTCGATCCTAGAAATACATGTCTCATACATTCAGAAACCTTGGAACCCACTTTACACCAAGTTTTACATTAATCATCGTTGTAAATAGCTTGAACAATACAAAATATACAAATAGGTTTGCAGATCAACTCATAATAAAATATGAAATGCAGTCACTTTCGATTCTTAAAAGTTTTAACACTCTTAAGTAGGGTTGCCCACGATGCTATCCTCCAAAGTAGGCCTTCTGATATCATTCGATCTCCGTTTGGAGACACCCAATGTCATCCCCACAGAAACCAAAGTCTCGAGTGATCTTTCACTATTTGCAAGGAGGTCGGTATCTATCTCGATCGCATCCTGGATTTTTGTTCAAAATTCAAATGTAACAGTAGATAGAGGAGGTCCCCCATACTTTTAACAGGGCTAGAAGAATTCAAAACCGAGAAGCAATTGAAATAGAAAACAAACGTGACAGCCAGGGAATTCAGTGTCAATAATACTGAGGCATTCACAAAGAACCACAATGTCAACAGAAAAGTCCAAATAGAATGGGTATTGAGAGTCCAAAAGAAAAGGGATGCAACTTCCTTCTGCGGCCTACATTGCCTGTGGAGCTCAGGGTAATAACACCTAAAGAATTGAACTAGGGACATTGAAGCTTTTGACTCAGTCTTAGAGTTTAGTCAGGCAGCTAATTTCTGGGGACATCTCAAAAATTTAGTTTGCCTTTGGGAAATCCAAGATGAAATTGAAAACTTCTACAAAGAGAAATTATTTAAGTAAAATTCAAAAAATAATAGCTCTGAATAACTATTCATGCATAAGACAAGCGCATCTATGAAAACTAATGTTTATCTTACAAATTTTATAAATTTATGAATTATATTATTATTGTGAAGACTCGTTTTCATAGAATAAGAAACATAGATTAAAACACCGCAATATGAAAGCAGCTATCCTTGTCTGAAAATTATTGAGGCTTTTTCAACAAAAACGGTGATGGTTTTCACTACGACCTTACACTCATCTACACTTCAGAATCCATTAGGGAAAGGTACAGAGAGAGCAATTAATCAAAGGCATGTTGGGCTAAAAGCTGCGCACAACAAAAAGTTTCATAAAATGAAGACCAAGTACCAGCACCTTTACTATCTCGTGCTGTTTTAGTATATGAGACAAGCGACTAACCTTCTCAAAAACACACATGACAGTGCTGCCACCAAACGAAAAATATCCAAACTGCAAAATCCAGGAAAGAAGCATTGGAATGTTAGCAGTCAAGTACTGAAAGTGAAACTTTTCCAGAAAGAAACAAAAGAGAGGGGTGGTAGAAAACCTCATCTCCCTTGTTGACATAGTCTCCTTCCTTTCTTAAGAAGGTGATGCTACCAACCATCGTAGCTCCAATGGCAACAAATGCCACCTGCAACCAATTAATTCAAACCTTTAAACCAAAGAAATTAAGAGCGAATGTCTCAAGACCATCAATTAATGCAGGAGCTTGAACCAAAGAAAGTAATGAAAGAATGTCTCATTCAGGGTCTATCTTGGAAATATAGGGGATTCCAATAATAAAATTATTCAAACAAGGGATAATAAAAGCCAGCTGAGCCATTACAACCAATAGAGACTAGTGAAAAGGAATTGACAAAAAAGAAAAAACGGAATTCACATCAATATTATTCTTCATCAAAAAATTCATATACCTTTCCAAATTCTTCGGTTGAAATTATGGAGACCACTCTCTTATTATCAGTGAAGACATTACAGTACTTGCTATTCACAGCTATAGGATTAACCTGGTCATTCATGATAACTCACTGGGTTTTAGCAATGAATGCAATATAAAAGGAAAATCAATTATAAAACAAAAATGTCTTCTGTAAAATCTTTATGGAAAATGGCATCATAAATAATAACATACAGTGTACAAGCTTCCAGGAATATCCACAAATTTCTCAATGGTTCCAGAGACTGGAACGTGGAAACGATGGTAATCCTGTACCCATTAGGGAGAAAACTCATAAGTAACCATTTAAAATTATAGGAAAATAGATAACAGACAATCTATCCATACATGATTATAAATAAATCTAAAACATGAGATGTATCATCACTCTACCTGTGGGGCCAGACGGAATATTGCCAAAGATCCTTCATCTAAAGCATTGTAGCAAATATCCTTCCCTAAGAGGCCTTGAACAGAAAACTTACGACCCTGAAAAAATACACCATGAATTGACAGAAAAGAAATATGTCATGAAACCAACCCACCAAGATCTGGAGTCTTGAGTGCTAAACCTGAAGAAACTCAAGAAATTGCAAAAAAATATATGACACCTATACAACATCCTTTGTTCATTAGTCTTTGGTTTGGTGGGGTAGACATCCAGCTTCAGATGAAGAAGGTCAAGCATTCAAACTCTTAAAGTTTGCACCAAATGACCAAACAAAATGACCTATTCTTTTTATATCCTCTGGAACACAAACTAAGTTACAATCCTGTGAAGCTAAAATAAAAGAATAAGGGAAAGGTTTCTATGCTTCCCCTATAGCATAGAAGTTCTATCGTCCCCCTACCATCCAGCCGTCCAATTTTGATCAAGAGAGTCACTCACCGTTTGATCTTAGATCGGACATCTCAAAGTATTTTATTTTTAATTTTTTTTATACAAATTGTATGAATATGAAATTTGGTACGTGCCATCTTCTAATTGGGTGCACCTATAAAAAATATTAAAAATAATTTTTCGATAAATATAATGACCAAAATACCCCTTGAAACTTTCAGGGGTATTTTGGTCATTTTATTTTACTTGAAATATTTTTTTAATATTTTTCGCTGGTGTGAGTTTAATAGAGGATTCGACGTACAAAATTTGGTGTCAAAATAGTTTATAGAAAAAAAAAATTAAAAATAAAATAGTGTAGATACGTGACATTGTGATTGGGGCAATCTTAGCCCTCCATTTAGGGTTGGATAAGGGGAAGTATATAAGTTTTATGTTGTAGGGGAAGCATAGAAAGCTTGCCCATTAAGTAATCTGCCTGATCATTTGACTAGCGCAGATGTAGCAAAATCTGAGGACTATATGAATCTATTCCACAAATCTATCACTCCAAACAAGGAACTTCTTCATCTCGTAGCATGCAATTATCAACTATTGAAGCCAAAGACAGAAAATTTACCTTGATCCAGAATCTTAAACTATCATCTACTGATTTAAATGTTGTTAAGCGACAATCGGCAGCGCAAACTGCCACACCATTGTTTCCTTCATATGCAATTGGTCGAACACCTGGTTTTAACTTTCTAATGAAAAATTCATTAAATGTCTGCCCATAAAGAAAATGTGTTATGATTCCACCTTTTTGGAAACAAAAGACAATGAAACCAACAAAAGATGGGAATATCTCACGAAGAAAAACAAACATTAAATAAATTAAAATTTGGAATTTGGACTATATTCTATGTCAACAGAATATACAACTTACTACCAAGAGAGTACAAACAAATGATTTTAGATTTCATTGTTCACCTAGATGTATTCAAAACACATATCTACTTTCCAGAGTATAAATGTAATTAATCAAGTCACATTGTGTTCCTCAAAAATCTTCGAAGAAAGGTGAGCACTGAACAGAAAAGGATGTTTTTTTATACTTGGAACTCTGTAAGTCATTTCTCTTGCTGCAGTTAATACCTAAGTTAACTTTTTCGAATAAGGATGTGTTTAAGAAGCAGGCTTCCTGATTGTTTAGTATTGAGTTCTGACTTTCATTGATACTGAAATTAATCATGCAGGGAAACACAAAAGGGAAACAGAAGATTGTTGACTGTGTTCGGAAAGTACAAAGGAAACAAAAAAATTTACAACAAAAGAGACTGCTGAGATCTAAATTGCTCTAATATCATGTTAACAAGACAAGAAACATAAAGATAAAATGTGAAAGAAACATATTTTGCATTAAAGAAATCCAAGACACCAAAGTCATCAGTTTCCCTTGGCTTTGATCGGCCAAAGTCTTCGGCTTCAGGCCCTAAACCAAAACAAAGTGAAGCGAATCACTGGAAAGTAATTTAAATAGAACAACATTATTTTCAGAAAATAGAACCCTGATATATTCAAAATTTTCATAAAATTACCCATAAGCATTAAAACATTTTTGCAAGCACGTTATTCAAAACTTTGAAAATATACCTTACAAATTGAATCTTTTTTAATAAAGGTCACTCTATTACAGAGGACAAGCTATAGGAAGCTACAGCGCTTCCATTTTTGACTAATTTTGCTTAACATAAGGACTCATCCTGATGAATAAAATGAGGAAGAACGGTTTATGCAAGTACATTGAAGACCTAAAACTCTTTAATGCATAAGCCAACAAGAATTAAAAAACAAAAGAAAAGAAAACGAATGAATATTAGAGAGCCGTTAACTTTGATCCCTCTACAAATCATAACAAATATGAATAGAGCATAAACAAAAACTCATTCTTAAAGGCGAGTGGTGAAATCATCAATGAACAAGAAGAAAATTAGCACCAAAATCATTGATGGCATATCCAATGATGTCTCAAAAATAACAGTCACCAAGAAATTTAAGCATATCAGAGGAGGTGATGAAATCTGAACCAATTAAGCCCTAGGAACTGATTAATGGAGATGAGATCAAGTGCATCTTCAACCTTATTAGACAACAAAAGTCTTGTAAAAGAGAATATGACTTGTTATTTATGGTACACCAGCCGTAACAAGACAACCTAAGAAATAAATTTCCAACCAGAAAAATTTGCTGAATAACTGGTTTAAAAATGAAACTCAAAGACTGGGCTTTAAGAATTATTTAGTTATAAATCCCTGGGTCCTAAATGCTGCTCTATTGTTCTGTTGGACAAGTTTGTTATCAGGCTTCACAGAAAAGATAACTAATTAATTGCTTAACCAAAGTCACGTTCAGGAAGTGGAATAAAACAATTACTGTATAACATGATACAAACATAACATTGCATAACTACCAAACTACAAGCACAGTATGCAGAAGCAACAGACCCATGTTCTCATTTCCAATTTTTAAATCATGTAATATTTTCCTTTATTTAATGGTAGTATTTGTCAGTCTCATAGAAGCTAGAGGAAATCATTTTAGACTTTCTCTTGTCCCAATGGCATTGCTCTCAATCCTCCATAATCGCAGTTCCTATACATGTAAATGTGGTTCAAGGAGTAACAAGCAACAAAAGAATAAGTTCAATGAAAATCAAATACAAGATATGCTTCAAAGCTACTGATAATGAAATCAAGTTTCCATACTCAAGTACAAAACAGTGTTCATGAAAAATCCATGTCATGCAGAATACTTCGTAGTATTGCACAACTTTATATTTTCCTAAATCAATCTTCACTGATTAGTTTGTAAACAAGTTTCTATAATGACAAACACTAATTGCAAACACAATTTAACCAAGGAATGTAACTTTGAATTATTGGTCTGAAAGAAATGCTCACCTTGTAATGTTCGACGGGGTACTTAAACTCATCCATGTTGATACGATCCTAGAACAAATAAGAATGGTTACAATACAATTTTAAGAAAATAATCTAATAGCTTTCCACATAGATCTTCAGCATCAGAATCATGTAGAGGCATAAATATCAAACCAACCCCATAATAAGAATACTTGAACTGTCACAGAATTATTAAATTCAAAATGACCACAACAAACATTTGTCTGATAGGGAGAGGATGGCATTGTCCATTTCCCAATATGTAAGGGCCACGTGTTCCTGCACTCTTTTCCTACACTCCCATTTGGCCAAATTAGGAGAGCTAAGACAAAATTGTAGTTAACATAGTAGTAAGGTGCAGAACAAAGGCACAACAATAAGGAGATTAGAGCAAGACAATAAAAGATCGAAGGCAGGGATTAGATGAAGAGAGTACGCGGTATCTAATAAGGTAGACGTAGCTGACCCCAATTGAATGATCAACAAAGAACCATTTCCAATTACTTCAGTCATGCTTTGATTTATTTGTTATGTGATCTTAGCGAACGTATTTAAAAAAATTAAAAACAAGTTGTGTAACAGAATCAAGAGAGATGCATTACTGACAGGAATAAAAACATTCCCTAGAAGACTTTGTTCCCACATATGGAATTGCTTCTCACAAAAGGTTGACACTCTTTCGGTGTTCCTTGCAAATGAATTTATGGTCATAGGAGATATTCTAATCATTACCCAGTAAGTGGGATTTTTTTATCAATAGAATGCAGAAAAGATCGGACCAAAATTGAGTACAGCGTCCCTCCCTAGGATGGAACATAATAAGTCTATGGATGAGGGCGAAGGAGGACAAGAAAGATCTCTATGCCCCTGAGGCCCTGCTGGAGGGCCTACATTCGGTCATTTTTTGGGCCACCAACCACAATCGACCCTCCTCAACATTCCTCCATAATTGGCAAACCTTGCTCAGCATCTGCCTTTCGCGCATCTTCCAGGCTCATCATTGGACTCCAACACCCCTGGGTCAAACCAAGCTAAATTTCGAAGGGTGCTTTCTCGGCAACCCAGGCACGGCAAGTGCGGGATGCATCTTCAGGGACCACAATGGTCTCACTTTGGCTTCCTTTTCCAGCCACATTGGCCATGCGGACTCCCAATTTGCTGAGTCCATGGCCCTTCTAACTGGCCCCAAGCTCTTCAATTCTTCTTGGAGTCAACCCCTGATTATTGAAGGAGATGCCCAAAATATCCTGGGGCACCGGCTCCTCACCTTGCCCCTGGTATCTAACCCCAATTTATGACGAAATTACTCATATTTGCAGGGATATGGTCGTCTCATGGAAGCATACCTGGCGGGAATCCAATGCACAGGCGGACACCCTCACTAAGGACAGAGCCCACAACGGCACTACCCGATTTTTTTGAGACAGTCTTTTGCTACCCTGTTTTTCTTGTTTATATATTCTGGGTTAACTTTTGAGATGCAACGCCATTTTTTGTATAGGGCTACCATTCCTTGGTAAGCCTATTTTTCGCTAGAGCCCCGGCTTGTGGGTGACTTCTACACTCTCTTGTATC